TTGGAGTCGGTGTTTCTTCTTTGGTTGTCACACCATGGCTCTTAGCTACATGAATTGACTGATATATGAGGCCAAGTAGGACAAATGGATCTGGGCCAAGCATCGCCAGCTATTATATAACTATTCTTTCCAGGCTTTTGCCTCTCCAAGACCGCTTGGCACATGGCTGAGAACACGCCTGATAGCAATCCCTTAAACATTTTCTGTCTTCATGACTTTTCAGGGTCATAGACCTTGGGAGCGTTTGGGTGATATGCTAGGCTTGCAGTGACAAAAGTAAAGGCGGCGAATTCGCAGAAGAATGCTGAAAAAAATGCCCAGACGGGTCATTTTGAACAGATCGTGTAGGTAAACCCCTCATGTTTTGTATCAGGGCTGTCTTGATCTTTAAGCTACCTCCCACAAGTTATCATTGGCTAACGGCCCCAGCGCCAACGACAGAGCGTTTTTTGCAAGCCAATTTTCTTCTTCAGCGTCGGAGTCCACTTCTTTGCAGCACACCTCGATATATATATATATAGAGAACATAGATGAGTATATATATATATATACATACACATCTATACACTGTTACATGTGTGTCTATTGTGCTCTATATATATATACCAGCTTCTTCAGTATGTGACCTAACTTGAAGGTTCCTTTTCGTGACCCGTGTCCGGAGGCTTGGGACCGTGACCGAACCAACCAGGTTATCAAGTACAGTCCCTCTTTGTGACCTTCTCTGGCCAAAAAAGGGGGCCGATCGGGATCCACGGCCCAACCTGCACCTTAGGGTGTCCTGGTATATATATATATATACATACCTGGACCTTCTTTCGGGGTGTCCTGTCTCGAGGTCCCTTAGTGGTGGGCTGGGGCTTCCATTGGGCACCCCTTGGAAGGTCCTGGTAATATCGACCATATATAGTCCCTAGGGATCCAAATACCTTCTCAGAAGGTGATTGGAGACACTCTTATGTGGGTTTTGAGGGTCCAAGTACCTTCTGAGGAGGTACTTGGATCCCTAGGGAGTATGCAAAAGGAGGGGTCTCGGCCCGTCCAGGCCTCCGGACTGCAGCGCTGCAGCTGTGCGGCTGCGGCCACCGGAGGCGCTACTGGGTGCCCATCACGGTGGGGCTGCTGTCGATCATAGGCGTGGCTGGCGCGGTGGGTGGTGGGGGTTTCTGAGCCAGGGGGGGGCTGGCAGGCACGTTGGTAGGGGTGAGTGGCTGTTAAGTAGCATCCTTCTGAGGCATAGTGTGTAGCAAGTGGTATGTCTGTTGAGGGACGTGCTCCTGCTAGAAGTGGTAAGTGGTAGCCGGGGTGTGGTAAACCTTTGATGAAGCGTTTTGGCCGGCGGCAGCTAGAACTTGGAGGTGTATGCTTTTCTAGGACTCACCCCTAGCATTCTGAATCGAGTTTCCTTTCCCCTGAGCTGCGAAGCTTTCGCGCCACCGCAGCTGTTTTCAAGCCATTTGAGCCGCCTGACACGTCAGCCCACGCACCCTCTGGCCCCTTCGTCCGTCGCCATGTGCCGCTGCGGAAAGACCTGTTCCAAGGTGTCGGAGTCAGTTCCGAGGTGTCGGAGACTGTCTTGGAGGAAGGGGTTCATGAGAAGGGCTGACATCAGGCCTTGGGTCCATACAAGTCGATCAGAAAACTCTTTTGTGGCCGCGATTTGATGAATCAACTGGCAACGTGGGCACAGCAGGTGTCTGTGGGCTTGGGCCTGCTCTTGACCATTGCAGGCCTGCAGATTGGGGGGGAGTCTGACTGGAGCACCCCCTCCATTTGAAGCTGGGCAGTTCTTTCTGGGGCCGCAAGGCTCAGAAATCAAGCAGCACCACTGCTTGTGGTCATGCTGGTGTTGTCACCCCCACGCTGACCAAAGCCCATGTTCCATGATGCATTTCCACCGTTGCTGTGGGGTTCGAAGTTCCCGCTTAGCTCCCTGGTTGTTGGTCCAGCCACCCCTGGTTTTCGACTGTTCAGCACGGCACGATAAAGTGGGGTAGAGCTTTCCGCGTCGTTGTGAAGCCGATGGGCTTTTGTGCCATGTGGTGTTGGGGCTTGGGCTTTCATGCTGCATGACGCTGTTGGTTTGCACCAGTAGCATTGACATGATACCCTGTGGTTGTCGTTTGAAGTTGGCCCTCCAGCTTTTCTTCGGTTTGAAGTGGCAACTTCTGAGTCATTTCCTCCGTTCATGCTTAGAGAGTAGACCCCCCCAAACCGGCAGAACGCTTGAGACAACATGGGGAAGTTCCGAACCCGCGTGCATCGGGCTCTCTCGGCTCTCGGCTCATGGGACTAGAAGAGGCGTGACCTGCGGGCTTTGGCATGTTCGCCTACGAACGTCACAGCTTTGGGCATCGATACGACCGGATGCGAACGGAGCAGTCGGACGCTACTAGTTACTAGTTACTAGTAGCTCCTGGCATTACTACGAACGGAACAAGAAGCTACTGACCAGGTTGCGGCAGCTTTCAGCGCCATCGCCCCTTAAATCTGAACGTCCCCGCTCACCCCGCCATGAAGAGCTGATGCACAGACCCCCCTTTTTGGGGTGACTGATGAGTGGTGTAGACTTGATTCATACCCCTCCACCCGAAGGGGAGTGTAAAAGCTCTTCAAAAGGGGCGGTCGAAGCATAATCAAGAGCCCATCATTACCGATTACCGAAGACTGAAAAGGTTGAGAATGAAAAGACATTCTCCTAGGCTTCCTCATAGTACGCCCACGGGGGATTTTTCGATGGCCTCCTAGACTTTCGTAGACGGGTGCGCCGCTCACGGCCGCGCAAAACTCGCGGAATTCCGCGTGAGGCATCGCCCTGTTGTTGGTGGGCGCGATGTCGTTGACCAACATCAGCTTGAATGTGCCTCAGCGAAATCTTAGGGCAACATCTGTGCGTCTGAGGGGCGTGAGAGTCGTAGGAGACGCCCCTGCTCGAGGCCCAGAGCCCAGACATGACTTCGGAGATAGGACAAGGCCAGATTTTGGGGTGGGTGGGTGATCTCAACTTCGTCTCGACCAGTCCGACGCCCCCCCAATCTCTCAATCACCGGTCGGGGATGTCCTTTGGTCAGCTCGGTCGGTGAGCTTTATGGACCCCACCTGGTGCAGGGCCATCCTACCGGATCTATTCCCACCGGATCCCTCGCCCTGGCCCTCTTCCTGTGATCTCTCCATCCCTCTTCCTCGCTCGGCCGCGGCCGCGGCCACTCAAACGGTCGTTGGCGAGGTGAGTGCCGGCATCGATGGAAGCACCACGGGCACGTTGGCGGCGCCCAGCGACCTGAACTGCCCCTACATCATTCTGATCGGGCCACTGGGGTGGAGAGAGAGGGGGGAGCGGACTGCATAGGGTGAGGATCCAAGATCATGAGGATCATGAGGAATCATGAGGATCATGAGGATGATGAGGATCATGAGGATCATGAGGATCCAGGACAGGACAGGAATAGAAAGGGGTTTCTTTGGAAATGGTGGATGAGAATCATAGCTGGATAGGATGGATGATAGGATGGGTCCTTCACTCTTGGGGCTTGCGGCTTGATAGGATGAGCTGATCGCGACTCGATTTGAATCAGGTGGACTTATACCAAGAGAGGTGGGTGACAGGGACCGGGACCAATAGGGATCAGGGGGCCCGTCACCTGGCGTACCCAACGGGGATAGTCGAACGAACTCGGGTCCTGCAAAACCTCTGTTGGCATCATGTGTTCCAGTGGAGCGCCTGTTGGTGGGCGATGGGACGGTTCCGCGCTCCATCTCGTCTGCAGGCAGGACTCCGCCTGCAGCGATTTCCAAGCTTCTGCCACGACCACTGCAGGTGCATCACCCTGGATGCGGTCCTGCGATTGGTTCGTGAGGGGGTAGCACCAGGTAGATGTGGACAATGCTGATGTGATGATGTTCTCTTCAGTATGGGTGGAAGCTCTTCCACCATATCCATAGTCGTCCAGCTGAAGAAGCCAGGTCCTCCCATGTGGCAGGCAGAATCCCCACTCCCACATCGCCAGGCAAAACGGATTCCTACCCTGCCTGAGATTGCAAGTGCGCGAAATCATGTCATCCTTTCCCATTCCATCCGCGTAATCACGGATTCTTTCGATCAGTGGACCATTCACTTCTATCACTTCGGCCACTTTTTGGCTCGAAATTGAGTCACCTAAAAGGACTTCCAGGGTGTACTTCCAGGGCATACCCTGGCCCTCCAAAGGAACCCAGCATTCTCCTCTCCCCTCTCCACGGGTCTCCCGCCGGGGGCACGTCGGGGCGAAGGCACCCTGGACACCGCCGTCTGCGGCAGCGAAGATCTGCCGGAAGATGGCGAGGGGCGCGCGCCGGCGCAGCGCAGCTTGCAGGACGCGGTGTGGTTTTCACGTGTCGCTTTTGGTTTTGGAAGCCAAGAGAGGTCAAGTGACCGTAAATAGGACCCGTCACCTGGGGCAACTATGGGATAGTCTACAGTATAGGGTTCTTCAACCTCTGTTGAACTATGACGGATTTGGTGGTGGTGGTGGTGGTGGTGGTGATGTTGAATTTCACTCGGCGGGTTTCTTGGGACACGTGTGCCAACGGTTGGGCCGGCGGGTCAGTTGGGATGCCTCAGGGGAGTCGTGGCATGGTTGAAGCCATCCTCGTTTTCACGATCTGACTCAGGCTCCCCTGAACTCATCACGAGTTCAGTGGACAAAACGGTGTTCCACTGGAATTTGGCCCCCACTCCTCGGAGCGGTCCTCTTCCATCCGCTGCATCCGCAGCCGTTTCTTTCAGGGCCTCAGGTGCCCCCAGGCTTTCGCGGGTTGGTGGTGACCCTCTGAGAGGTGCAGTGAACTTGCCGACGCGGAGGACTTGGATTGGACCATCGGCACCTCCGAGACGAAGCTCATCGTGCCTTGGTGGGCATGGTTCGTCTTTCTTCGCCGCGCCTTCTCTGGCATTTTGGTGATGCAGATAGTTCTCACTATGCAGGACATTGTTGGCATCACCAGCATGTTTGAGGATGCGGCTTGAAGAATTATGGTGGTTTCAGAGACACGACATTCAAATTCTTAGGCTGTTTCAGATGGGATTCGTGCTTGTCGATTCAAATTCAATTCCCACTAGCCAATGTGGTCAACACCTTCTAGTCCGCCCACTGGCTTGTTGCGATGGTGAAATGAGAAGTCTAGCTTTCAAGGCGGCCACTTGAGATGGCTAGCTAGTAGCTAGATCAATCGGAGTGCATGGGCCCAGCCGGTGAGCTCGGAAGCGAATGCCGAGGATTTGAAGTATGCGGGGCAGTTGACCTTCGCTGCGGATGGGGATGCGGTGGTGAGCAGCAGTGAGGAATGGATTGGTGGGGTCTCTAGGTGGGGAGTTTCATCAAATCCTCGATGAACATGGACAGGTAGGCGTCCCATGGCTGACGCGCCATCTAGAACTGACTCCTAATACTGCACCGGCCGGGATGGAAATAGGGGCTGGGAAGAGACAGCCCGTAGCGGCCCCATCCAAACGTTCTTAAGTAGCACCCCTGCCAGGGAATGGCTCATGTCCCATTTCCGACACCCTTCCCTCAAATGGTGATTGCCACTCGCCACAAGGACACCAGAGTTTCCCCTGTCACGCCCGAGCGGATTTGCAGGATATGTGGTCCATGCAGCTCTGCGATGTCTTCTCAGAGCTTTTTGCACAGGCTGGCCGCGCAATCGCTGCTTGGAGAAACTGGAAGAGGACAGAAGGAAGGAAGGAAGGAAGGGAAGGGAAGGGAAGGGAAGGGAAGGAAAAAGAAAAGGAAAGGAAAGGAAAGGAAAGGAAAGGAAAAGAAAGGAAAGGAAAGGAAAGGAAAGGAAAGAAAGGAAAGGAAAGGAAAGGAAGGAAGATGCGATACTTCGCATCAAGAATTGGGTCACTGGATGCTGGATGGCTGGTAACAGGTAACCGGAGAACGTTCGTGAGGGGAAACCAGGATGTTCTGCTGCGGCGTTCTCAGCCTCATGCTTCAACCATCCTCTCAGTGTCCTGGCTGGAGATCCCTAGGTAGTGCAGGCATCACACCCGTTTGGTGATGAAAAGGCCATATTCGGGGTGGTTGGTCCAAATAGAGCTCCCTCTCAGGCTAGGGGTCAGGTAGTTCAGACAGACAGGTCCTGGCAAGCGGTTTTCATGTTCAGGACCAGTACAGAGGGTTTTTCCCGGGGACGGGTGCGCCCAGGCTTTCCGGGCCCGGTCACCCGTCAGCATCCCGGTGGAACCCGCTTCGGCGCCGCTGACCCTTTGTTTGGGGCGTGACCGGCAAGGTTTGTGACCAGATGATGGCCAGCAGAAGACCAGGTGACTGTCATGCTGGCACCTGATGTTTTTGCAGGCTTTCATGGTCCAGATTCACACGGCTCATGTCGCCTTTCCATCCCATTTCTTTCTTCCATCCCATTTCGACTATGCAGATAGAACGAAAAAGAACACGCGTCGAACCATTCCGAGATCATGGTGGCCGCGGGCGCTGTGCTCCTGGTCGCTGGCCTCGTGACCTTCTTCATTGGCCTCTGCTGCTGCTGTTGCTGCGCGAAGGAGTGAGAGTGAGGCCAGGTCTCCACCTGCCGCAGAGTGATAGGTTGGCGGTCTACGTTCATGACACGTTGGCTCCAGACGTTTGGGGCCTTTGGGGAGTGGACACTCTGGCGTCGGTTCTTTTCGAAAGGCCACCGCAAAAATAGGGAAGATGGCTGCCAGAGTGCTATCCACACCTCGAAGAGCACACGATGTGGGGGGAGGGAGGCCAGGAGCCTACTTTGAGGCCCAATGGGCCGGCAAAGGGGACAGCTGAAGTACACGGGAAGCTTCCTCCTCCGCATGAGATGTAGCTCTATCCCGTGGATCACGGCACAACGACGCACCACCCACGGGAGCACCGTTTTTGACGGCGCTGGTTTCTCGCCCGGCCCGTGCGACCGCGCTCGCACTCTTCGTGCGGCACGTGCGGCGGCTTTGCTGGGCGAAAGCGCCCCCCTGCGCCGCCCCCCATTTTGGCAGGGATTGGCATATCTTGGAAGATTGGCAATTGGAGTTCCCAACATCATCATTTGGTTTTTCGCGTTCGACCATCCCACAGGTACGCCAGGCGACGGGTCCTATGGTCCCGGTCACGTTCCACCTCTCTTGGTCCTGCCCTAGAGATGTTGGAACATCTACAGGTTTTGGCTCGAACTCCATGGCTGTGCCGTACTTGGATCTCGTTCAACGTCGGGGGGGTGGCGCGAATCTGCACCGGAACTCCGCCCCAATTTGTGCGGAGGCACGGTGGAATTCAGTGAGGCCAGGTGACCCCGCCAGTAGGTGCGAGGAAGGAGGCCCTCTTTTGCCGAAAAGAGAGCGGGCTCGGCCCTTGGAGATGGAAGATGTGAGGGTTCTGATTGGTTGGGTCTGGTTTACTCACACTTCCGGATTTTTCACCGGCTTGCCTCTACAAGCCAGTGGTTTTCAATGGTTTTCAGGTTCCATGTTCATCTTCCAGGGCGTAGTGGTTATTGCATGTTGATGGCATGAGGACTAGTCTTTAGTCTTCAGTCTTCCATGCTGCTGGGTTGCTGGGGTCGGGATTTGGTTTTAAAGGCCAGCAAGGCGGTGGCTTTTTCAGAGGTGATCCAACCGACAGTGCCACGGGAAACTCAGATTCTGTGACTGAAACACAGGTGTCTTTGCTTTTCGGATGGGCTTGGTCAGTGTATCTTCTTTTAGAAGGGATGGGCAGCAGGCCTTGAGCACAGAGGATTAATGTGAGAGAAGGGGCGCACGAGGATCTTTGTCAGCTTCCAGGTGTATAGACATAAATATAAATATATGTATATATATATAGATATTGCACACACACACACATATATATATATACACATTCATGGAACTATTTGTATTGTAATTGTAATTGTACTTGCATATATGTATGTAGGTATGTATGTATTAATGAATGTAATGTATGTATGTATGTATGTATGTATGCATGCATGCATGCATGCATGCATGGATGGATGGATGGATGGATGGATGGATGGATGGATGGAAGTTAACCACCTTCCAGCATAGTCTACCAGGACACAAGGGGGTGCTTAATGGACACCCCTTAACATCCAAAGGGCTATTAATAGAAACCCCTTAGGAGGTCCTGCTATAATTGCCGACCATGCAAGAAATCACACAACATCACATCTGACTGGTGCGACTCGCAGGGAATGAGGGTGGCTGGATCCAATAGAATCTGTATTGGTGGCTCATTCCCTTATTCCCTACGAGTCGCACCAGCCAGTCATGGAAGCTGAACATCTTTCAGATGCCTCCCAGGGGACCGGCATCTTTGGCACCTCGGCTCTTCCACTGGTTTTGGGCGTTTTGGGCCGGTGGAAAGCCCACCCCAAATGGCAGAATCCACGAGGGTCACTCGAACTCATCCCAGGTCATTTTAAGTTCCAAGTCCTCAAGTAGAAACCCTCAAGTCGAGGGCAAAAGTGGGATAGTTTCAGAACATCAAAGAACCTGGTCCTCACCGCCTAGCCTACGCTGCTCCACTCGACTTGTTGTCCGATCGGCCGCCTGACCCGTTGAGCAGTTGGGAAAGACCTCGGACGACCTGCGAAAACCGCCCACAGCACCTTCGCCCGAGAAAACCGCCATGTGCCGCTGTGGAAAGACCTGCTCCAAGGCGTCCTGCGGTTTTTGATTTTGGGGGGTGGACGCGTCAGCCGAGCCACAAAACCAGCGGCGGCTTTTTGAGGAAAAAAGAGCAGGCTGGTGTTCCTTCTTTCTGGAGAAGAATGGGAGAAAGGCGACCTGAGAAGAAGGGGATCGGCTAAGATCGGCCAATTGACGGGCCAATTGGGGCGAATTCGATGGTGATGAATCTGCAGGTGTCTGTGGGCTTGGGCCTGCTTCTGACCATTGCAGGCGCGCGCCCACACGGGCGGTGGACCCACGGTCGGGGTGGTTCATGGACACCTCGAATCACCTCCAAAGGGCTATCAATAGAAACCGCTTATGGGGGTCCTGGTGCTGTATATTCTTGAAAACTTGGATAAACTTTGGATGTCTCGCTAGCCCAGCGGGGTCATTCCAATGCTCCAGGGTGGTGGTAGTTGAGCTTCTATGCCAAAGCTCACCAGAATCCCCACAGAGCCTCCTGGAGCCTGAGTGACCTTTGTCTTTGATAGGAAAAATGTCCCCACGAATGGACAAATGGGGATCCAAATGCATGACCAGGTCACTGAGGCTCTGGGTATGTATATACACTGGGGATCCCACCACTCCATGGGCCCCATCTCCCGCCCAGGCATCGCCCTGTTGTTGGTGGGTGCGATGTCCTTGACCAGCATCAGCCTCAATGCGCCTCAGTCCTGCCATGAAACCTTCCTTCTCCGTACCCTCCCGCCCGGCCTCGGAAGTCTGGGAATCGGCGGCGGAGAAGGGCCTCCACGACGAAGTGGTGAGACTTAGGGGTGGTGCAGGTGGCCACCGACGGGGGGGGACAGGGACGGGACCTTTGCGGGGTGGTCTTCAGCGCTCTGGAACCAAAGGGAGCGCTCCACATCTCGATGAGGTTCCATGTGGATGGGATACCTGGGATGGCCAATCAGAAAGACCTAGCTGGCGTCCGCTGATTGACCCCCACGGCACCCAGGTCCGGCGACAGCTCACCCTTTGATTGGAATGCCGCTATCAAGAATTCTGCACCACCAAAGAGCCAACATGTCCCTAGATACATCACACTTGCAAAGACCAAGAAACTCTTTGGTAAGCTCTTGAGGAAGTTCTGTGATCAACACCCTGTGATCTCTGTCTTCCCTCCCCAAATAAAATCAGAAGAGTTTCCCTAAAGAGGAACGCCCTGGTTTTGGGGTGGAGCCAAAAACACTATCATTTCCAGAGACATGCGGGTATTCATCTCAAGAGTCAAACAAAGAGCATCATGCAAATCATTATAGCCCTACAAGTCCAAAGATTCGATAAACACTGATCCTTTACCTTCTTGAGTAGTGTTCTTGTATATGTATATATGATATTCCAACACATCCTTCCCCCTCAACTCGATCTTCCCAAGATCCAACCACACGAAGATCCGACCCGCTCCCCTCGGCCGAGCCGCCGGAAGAAAACGCTCCGCACGGCGAAGGTCAGCGCCGGCATCGATGGGACGACCACGGGCACGTTGGCGGCGCCCAGTGACCTGAACTGCCCCTACATCATTCTGATCGGGACACTGGGGTGGAGAGAGAGGGGGAGCGGAGGGTCCAAGATCATGAGGATCATGAGGAGAGCAAGCGAGATGGCGGGATGGGAAGAGACTGAGGATCTGATGGGAATGCCATGGTGGAGACACACACACATGCACATTTTATAGAATGTTATAGATATAGGTGTATATATATATATATGTAGTGTGAGAATCCTGTGATGGGATAGGATGGGTGATGGGATAGATATTGTAGATTCGTTATCGACACAGGAATGGGACGATGAGCTTAGCATGGACTTGATTGTCAAGTGTTTGACGTATGGTGGGTTATATCATGTGTTCCAGTGCAGCGCCTGTTGGTGTTAAGTTGCTTGGGGACCGTCGTTCGTTGCTTCGGGGGAATTAGCGCAGAAGAAGTGCTTTTGACCCTTGCGGACCTCTGAAGAATTGGTTGTTCAGAACTAAGAGAGGGTATAAAACACGTCTTGTTTTTTTTTTTTTTTTTTTGCGTTGTTAGTGGCAACATACGAGACCCAAAGGACTATTTCATAGGTTTGTTTGTCTCGTGAGTGGTGAGTGAACGGCCCGTGGTAAAAGCTTTGTAGACGTTGTAAACCTTTGTAAGTTTGTTTGTAATTCAACAACTCTGTCAACTCTTTGCAAAAGTTGCAAACTTTGTACAAATTCTTAAGACTTTGTGAAAGTTTTGTAAACTTTGTATAACTTTGTAAAAATACAAAACTTTGTAAACGTTCTAAAAACTGTGTAAATCGTTGCTCTAACTTTGAAGAATAATTTGAAGAACTCCAAAACTTCGTAAAAGGTTTGTAAACCCTTTTACAAAGTTTGCGAATTTTACATCGTCTTAATAAAGTTTTACCAAGTTCTTACACAGTTTTACAAGTTTAAAGGTTGACAAAGCTTACAAAGTTTAAACATGTTTTACAAAGTCTACAAAGTGTTGACAAAGTTTACAAAGTTTTACACAGATTTTATGAAGTTTGCAAAGTTTTACAACCGTTTACCAAGTTTACAAAGTTTTACAAAGTTTACAATATTTTTACACAGTTTGCAAAGTTTTGAACAATTTCCAAAGTTTACCCAGTTTACAAAGGTTTTACCATTAAAAAATCAATTAAAGACGTATTGAAAGTTTTACAATGTTGCTGCAATGTTGACAAAGTTTTTACAAAGTTTACACAGTTTTGCAAAGTTTTGAAAGTTTACAAAGTTTGTACAAAGTTTATACAATCTTTACACAGATTGCAAATTTTACAATTTTACATGGAGTTTTTTCAAAGTGTACAAACATTTGCAAACTTTACATAGTTTACAAGGCTTTCACAAAAGTTGCAAAGTTTATACAGTTTACAGAGTTTTTGCACAGCATTGAAAGTTTACAACGATTTTAGAAAGCTTTGGAATTTGACAAAGTTCTTGCAAAGTTCGGAATTTTCACAGTTTTTCAATTTTTACGGAGTCTACAAAGTCTCACAAAGTGTTTACAAAGTTTTCAAAGTTTTTACAAAGTTTACAAAGTTGTACAACGTTTTTACAAAGTTTACAACAGCTTTTTCAAGTTTACAAAGTTTTTACAAAGTTTACAAAGTTTTTACAAAGTTTACAAAGTTTTTACACAGTTTACAAGGTTTTTA